CATATGCTCGCCGTCTTATACGAGCACTTTAGTCGTAAGGGAGCGAGTATTCTTACACGTGTACGAACAGTGTCTTGTGAATAAAGGTGCTGTGATTGCCCGGACTTGTTCAAGTGTCGTGCGGCCTCCCCTGCCCGTCCATTTCCTTATCGCCTGACTCTAACCGAGCGATTAGCGCGTTCGCTGGGAGAGCAGCGAACACAGAGGACAGAAGTTACACGTGAAATGGTACAGACAATACAAGTGACGCAACATGAGGAATTACAGACAAATAGTAATACTTCTGTTTCGGATATTGAACTCACAAATACGCAAGGTAATATTACAACATCACTTGTTTCAAGATACTCGTATAAAATCAAGCTAAAATCTCATATAGAGCTCTAGATTTATTTCATCTATAGATTAGAAGGCTATATTCTTACTCACCTTTAACTCTTTTATATTTCATAGACGCATCAGTATTTGAGGTTCCGGAAGACGATTACGGATATTTGTCAACGAACTCAAACGAGAACAATGCCTCGATAGAAGATCATCCATTTCATGCTGTGGACTGGACTCTGCAGGCTAGTCAAAGCACATCGAAAGAAAATTCTTCCTCAAACATTTCACGGTGTGTTATACTAACGAACGGTCCCACATTTTCATACCTTGTGGTCATTTCGTTTGTTGTTACCAATGTATTGAACGCTTAGGAGCTAAGCGATGTCCGATATGTAATCTACCTTATGAAAACTATATTCGAATTATAAGTTCATGAGATATATGTTGAGCAATATTTTTCGTTCCCCCTGCGGGGAGGAGTCCCCCCTCCCCCACACCAACGGGGGAGGGAGCGCAGCGGCCCGCCCATCAAACGGCGGGCCGGTGCGGGGGGCGTCCAGAAGTAATGGCTCTGCCAAGTCCTGGGCGTCCCCCAAGTAAAGCACAGCGCAGTTCACCGTGTGGTTTTAGTGCGGTAAGCCCAGCGGTCGCAATGTCAGCGGCCGCACCCGATCGCCATTAGGGGGGCAGACCCACATAACCCGGGCCACTTAATGTAAACTCCCTTCCCGGAGGGGGGCCCGGGTATCCATAAAGGATTTCCACACGTAAAAAAAAAGCAATATTTTTCGTACAGATTGCTCTCTAATAGTTTTCAAAGCGCGGTATTACTTGATAAGACAAAATTATTTTATTTTATTTAGAATTAAGAGACGCTTTTGCAATATGTTATTTTTTAAAGATATTTTAAATATCTTATGTAATTTGATTACGTCTTGCGCGCAAAATTGCGAGTTGTGCTGTCCAAAAAAGGGTTTAAGCTCGTAAAATATTAAGTCATTTATAGTTTGTATGTTGATAATATAAAGATGCAAGTGATGAAAAGTAGACAAAATTATTTCAATTTACTGTTATTGATAAAATAATTACTTTACGATAACTGTTTGTTATTTTATCAAATTGGTTTCAAAATTTCTCTACAAATTGGCTTACATCTTTTCATTTATCCAGTTTGCTTTCTAGAGTAATGATTATTAGTTTTAAAAGAATGGTTGTGCGATTCAATTTTCTTAAAGTCAGTTTTTTCTAATAAATATATATAATTTGTTTTAAAATAGATTTTATTTCGTACAAACGTGCGTTACAAAGATTGACTACCTCTTATAATATTGTTACATGTAGTGTGCTAGATACTGCGATTTTATATCATAAGTTTAGAAAAAGTTTGGTGATACTATAATTATAAAACATTAAATATTATTTTTATATTCGATAATAAGTTACAACACAAGATAATAATTTGACACAAGTGTTACTATACACTGTTATATATAATAAAAAAAACTATAATTACAGAAAATTATCAAAAAGAATACACACACCCGAATAAAATTTTGTATCGTTTCTGTTTTTATAAGTGTTCTCTAAACTTATCCTTACTTGTCCTCCTTCTAATTACGCCATATTTCCTCTGTTCCCACAGAATAGGCAAAATTGTTCTAAAAGCAAGAGATAATCATGACAATAACACCGTTCATTTTGTTTGTTATCACATGACAAGTGTCACGATATAATATTTGTATTTCACGCTTTGGCAGATATTGTAACTTTAAACGTTAAAACGTCAAATTAAATATTTACAATTACAAAATGTGATAAGACACCTGATTATATAGTTTTTATCATGAACGGTGTCCACACCAACGTCGTGTCCAACTTTTTAGTGTGCAACTTTTACGGTGTGCAAGTGAGCGGTGTCCACTTGCGCCGTGTCCACTTTTCGGTGTGAAACTTTTACCGTGTGCAAGTGAGCGGTGTCCACTTGCGCCGTGTCCACTTTTCGGTGTGCAACTTGTGAGAGTGTTGAACACGGTCCCCACGAGCGGGACTCAGGGTACAGTGGGAGGACCGGATCATTCGCATGCTCGAAGATCTACGAGCAGAGAAGGTGATAGCGCGCATGATCTCGGCCTCTTTCGTTCCGGAGCCACGGCGGAGACAACAGGTGCGACGCGGCCGCTCGGAGTTTGTACGATTGCGTCTGGGTACGTGGATGCCTATTGAGCTAATACGAGTACGTCTGGGTACGTGGAGGTCTATTGAGCTTGTGCAAGTACGTCTGGTACGTGGATGCTGATTCGATAAGTCGACCACGGGTCGCCGATTATCATCTTGGAAGTCGTGGCCGCTGTCCAGAGGTATACCGAGCGTCACTGCGTGACCCGCGAATGGCTCCGGAGCAGGAGAAAGAGCCATCGAGGGACCCGCATCATTTGTAGATGAGTAGCCGTTACGAATCTCACATCTTCCTCTTCGCCCTAATTACTATGTTATAAAGTAGATATTCACGAGCGACCAAATTGCCGATGAGAATTGTATACCGCCGATGACTTTCGTATGACCGGTGTGGTTTCGAATCATAAACAGAACGAATACCAGTTCAACATATAGTTTTTCCTTCTCTTTATATTTCATGACTTCGCGATAAAATCGTATCGCGATACGACGGGATTATTACTGTCATCACTGGGGACGGGCGAAATTGCGGATCTTTGAGATCACAAAGGTGTAATAGCGATTATAAAAATAGGATTTAGAGTGTACATGCCGACCACGCTAACTCGCATGGCGGAAGGAGAATAAAGAATTATTCGATTATTCCACTGAGTTCCTTCCTTGGTGCTATCTCTAATCTTGAATACAAAGGCAACCCAAATCTGAGGCCTCAACTAGCAAGGTGAAGAAGAGGGTTCCCTTACAAACTTTTACCGTGTGCAAATGAGCGGTGTCCACTTGCGCTGTGTCCAACTTTTCAGTGTGCAACTTTTACCGTGTGCAAGTGAGCGGTGTCCACTTGCGCCGTGTCCAACTTTTCGGTGTGCAACTTTTACCGTGTGCAAGTGAGCGGTGTCCACTTGCGCCGTGTCCACTTTTCGGTGTGCAACTTTTACCGTGTGCATATGAGCGGTGTCCACTTGCG